TTGCTCCCCATCCCTGTCTTCCAGCTCAGGGAAATATGTACCACTCTTAAAAGTTGAAAATAAGAGAGATGAAAAATAAGAGAGTTGAAAATCCAGACCTGGATGTAGTACTCCAGGTGGGGTTTCACAAGAGTGGAGTAGAGGGGCAGAATCACCTCCCTCGACCTGCTGATCACACTTCTTTGATGCAGCTCAGGATGTGGTTGGCTTTCTGGGCTGCAAGAGCACACTGCTGGGTCACATTGAGATTTTCATCGATCAATATGCCCAAGTCCTTCTCCTCCTCTGCTTTCAATCCATTCTCCCACCCAGCCTGTAGTTACGCTTGGGATTGCACCAACCCACATGCAGGATCTTGCACTTGGCCTTATTGATCTTCATGCGGTTTGCATGGGCCCACCTCTCAAGCCTATCAAGGTCCCTCTGGATGGCATCCCTTCCCTCCAGCATGTCAACCACACCACGCAGTTTGGTGGTGTTGGCAAATTTGCTGAGGGTGCACTTGATCCCGCTGTCCATGTCACCAACAAAGATGTTAAACAGTGCCAGTTTCAGTACCAACCCCTGAGGGATGCCACTCATTACCCCACTTGAACATTGAGCTGTTGACCACAACTCTTTGAGTGCGATCATCCAGCCAATTCCTTATCCGTTGAGTGGTCCATCCATCAAATCCATGTCTTTCCAACTTAGAGACAAGGATGCCATGGGGGGCAGTGTCAAATGCTTTGCACAAGTCCAGGTACCTTGTCCACCAACTCTGTAACCCCATCATAGAAGGTCACCAGTCATGATTTGCCCTTAGGGAAGCCATACTGGTTGTTCACCAATCACCTCCCGTAAAATACATATACTATTGCTTGAGTGTTTTGCAGAAGATTCACTTACCATGCAAGCCCATTTTCATGGGCAACTTCTCCAAATGGTATGGGAGATCCTCTGTAGTAGCAGGGGCATTCATTAGCAGGCACACAGTTGCCCCTCTCATCCATGTAGGTTCCATTTAAGCAGGTGCAGCCATCAACTGGGACAAACTTAATGTTGCATGTGACATCAGGCTCACTCAGAGACCGACAGGTGGGTTGACAGGAAGTGATGGTATAGCTGTAGCTCAGTGATTTGGGACATGAGATGGTGTATTTTGCTTGAGAGAGGAAAATAGAATAGGTTTGTTAATTCCAGATGGTAATTTCTGGTGGGGAAAAAAGAAACTATAGGCAGTAGAAATAACATGTAAACAATACGGTACACCTCTGCCTATGTTGCATCTTTCATGTAAATGTATTTCTGAATACTTCCAGAGTTAGACCTGAAAAGCTACTGAATACTGTGGAATAATAAATGATGTATGCAAAGAAGAGAATAGTTTTTCAAATGAAATTTCAGAAAGAAACCTCCATTTGGTGCTGCCTTTCATTGCGAAGACTTCTAAACCTTTTGAAGTACAAGCTACAATGTGTCCCTGAATGTATACTGGTATGCTGAAAGCGGAACTACTGGATCAGTGGAACCTGGTGTGCTGCAAGTGCTCTGGTTAGTATTACTAGTACAGTTATTCTAATATGTCACATTTTCTCTACAATAACTTGTGATACATAAAGCTGTAGTGAAATTCAAAGTTGCACAGAAATAGGTGGAGGCACTTCCATAAGAGTTTTCCTAAGAAAGCTATGGCTCCCATCTATTCATATTCACTCTTGCTAGCAGTGGATTGATTCTAAGGGAACAGCAGAGAATTACTTCCAGGAGTGCACTTAGCAAAATCCCTACCTCAACACTTACTATATTTGTCTTAAAATCAGTATAAAATAGTCTCTAATCAGCAGTTTTTATTCACGTGTGTTCTTAGGAAAGGGGATAGTTAGGAGTACTTACAGCAGACATCAGTCCTCCATCCATGCAGCTGGATTCCTTTTGCAGCACAAGCTCTCACATAGGAAGACAGGGCTGCACAGAGACAATCCTCACTATTTTCACAGTTACATGTGTCAAACATGCAGTTCTAAGAATGCAGAGAAAATAAAAGTCTCAGCACTGGTAATATTTTTAGTCTAAGAAAAAAAAAAAAGAACACTATCTTTCTGGTCTTACATGCTAATCCTTCAGATATGCTCACACATAGACAACACTAACATAGCTTTATCACTTTCCAGTCTTTGCCTAATTTTCCTGGCAGAGGAGAATGAAGGTAACAGAAATTCAGTCAATTTCTGCAGTTATTATTAGGAAATAGTGGTCTTAAAGTCTGTCATACATTTAACGGCTTCATGTTGCCCTGAACCATATTTACAAATATACTGCACAATAGCATACAAAGCTCTATTTACAGTACTTAGTCTAGACACATTATTTCACTAGTGTCCATACCTGGATGATTCATAATGAGAAGAAAGACTGGCAACACACTGATAGCAGAATGATGACAACTAGCTAATGGGCTTTCTGTGCCAAATAGTTATTAATGACATATGAGGCTGATAAGACAGCATTTCACTGATATTCAAACAATCAGTTGAAATGCATTTACATACACTTCCTATTATATGTATATATCCATTCAGGAGCAAATAGCTGCCCTTTCATTTGCAAGGAAGTCAGAATCTTGAAGCCAAGACTGACAATTGAAATAAGGTAATGTTACAACATAAACAGAAACACATGTTGAAAGAAGGAAGTGCAGCAGTACAGAAATGAAAATACAGGCATTGCGTAAGACGAGACATGTCTGGAACAGTCCTTTTCTAGTAGCTAGTTGTAATGATCCTATTCCTATTGTTTCCAAAGGGAAAAACAGTCTAACAAAGTACCATGTGGTAAACAGAGGGATTCACGGCATAGTGACAATCAGCAAAAGGTCCTTTGCTGTCAGTTAGTAGTCCACACCAATGCTGAGCATATTTTTCTGTGAAGAGAACAAACAATACAAAGGCACATTACTCTTTGTATTTCATTAGTCACAAAACCACACTGCCCTGGTCTATGAAGCCAGTTCTGAAATTACATCAAATCTGTCCTTTTCCTGCCTTTTTTTCATTTAGCTTGTGGGCTAAGGTTCCTAAAACCAAAAAGGAGGACTTGCTGAAGGGGATAACTAAAAGATTTCCAAAGATACTCCTGCAATCCACTTCTCTGACACCAAGCTGTCAGCTTAGACATTCTCTGTGTTTTCGATGACCATGCAGTTAACCTTCACTTATGTTTCTATGACTCTTTCTTTACTTTTTTACTTATCCCTAGTGCTTTCATTTTGAATATTTGTTTCTGATTTCAGATGTATGTTTTTACCAAATACATGTCATTATTCTCTTATCTTTGCTTTCCAATGAATGTGTTTTCCTTAGGACTGAGCAAAAAGAAACCTAGAAAAAATTCTAAGAAGCACGCACCGTTATCAATGCTGAGTGCACAAGGGTTTTCAAATCTGTGCTGGATATTAGGGCATGTAGCTTGAGTTTTCCATGTATTAGCAAATGCTGTTGCTGTTCCTTCAATTATTCCACTTATGACCTGGAAGTCGTCAGTTTGGATATTATTGAAATTTCCACAAAGACCTGTTGAAAAGCAGTGAAAAGCTTATACTGCTCATACTAGACCAAAGACATTAAGCAAGCTGTTCTTATATTTCATTCACTTACCACAGGTCTGGTCTTTGAAAACAGGATCCAGTCGCACAAACACTTGCATGATTGGTATGATTTGGATTTCAAGGTGGACACCAAAGTTTGTCTGTATGATGATGAAAAATGATGATGGTCTGAACACGGTGGCATTAGCTACAGATGAAAAACAGAATGATTGCTTTCTGAATGAGGTCGAATGCTGGAAACAGTGCATCATTATAATATTCTTGAATTTCTGTCACTGTTTCTGAGGTGAAATAAAGCCAATCTTTATGAAAATGGATCAGAAATATAGATCAAAATCTACAGTTCAGAATTTGTTGTTAACTTTATTTGCTGTCTCAAAATTAAGCAATTGGAGATTACTCCTTCCAAGAGAATAAGAAGGAAAAACTTTATAGCACTGAGTGTTAAAAAGAATTTCATTTTTTTTCCCCATAAGCTTGTACAGCATACATTGGAGCCCTCACTCTGCTGGAGTGGGAAACTGAGCAGATCTGGAGGTCAGGGATATCACATAGAATCATTACTTATTGTGACGGTGAGCAAAAATCTAATTTGTCTGAGGAAGTGTGAGCACGGTGGTGGTAAGTTAAAAAAAAAAAAAAAGGAAGAGGTAGAAAAGGTGAACAGATGTCTTCTGTGTTCAATTTTTGGCAGTGAGAAAGAAGTAAACTTTAGAGTGACCAAATCAGGAAAGTGTAAATGCTGTTTGCTGCTGTTTGAACTCTTGCCTGTGCTTGTACTGCCTCCCATTTCTGTATGGCACCAAACTTCCCACTTGACTTCAAAACTTCCTGTGTGGCTCAGGAAATAGGTGTGAACATGCAGGTTACGAACAACTCAGAGTCCTTTTATCTTTCATAGTTCAAGAAAATAAGCAAGGGTGGAGCTGAAATTCTGAGATTATTGCTCATGGACTGTTAGAGAAAAAAATACCTGCTGAGATGGGCAGCTGAGTGTAGATCGAATTCACAAACACACCACCATCAGGTTTGACTTCGATGAGCTGATAAGGAAGAGGAACAAGAGGTAACTGTGTGAAGGACAGCTATAGTCCAAAGAATAATAATGGTGATGACTCCAGTGATATTAATTAAAAAGATATTAAATAAAAAAGGTAGGGTTTTTTCTATTTCAGGTCCTCCTTCTTTCCACTTTGTACACTTTACTAATTTTCCCTGACATAAAAAAAATATTTTAAAGGTACTTTCTCAACTCCTTAGAGAATTACATCATCTTGGTTTCTTTGACCACATCTTTGTGATGAATTACATCCATTACTGTTGTACTTGTAGTTTCTAACCTAAAAGCTCATGTTTTTTCCATCTAATTGCAGAGAAAATAGCTTTCTTCTGCTTTGTGAGTATAAAGTTTTTCTTAATGAACCTGCACAAAGCCAGATTTATGGCTGACCTGATTTTCATAACAAAATAAATTTCTTTTCACTTGATTAAAAATAACATGTACTTATCACATATGCTGACCATTTGAGAAAGAAATGCAGCTCCCTGACTAAAGCCTAGCTTCTTTGCTCCCCATATATTTAATAGTTGTTTCCTCATGCTTATTTTGCATTCTTACAGTTTGTCCTTTATTCATGTTGAGGGTCACTGTCTTTAAGCATGTCTCAGTGTCTGTTAGGCCACATTTGCGTAGTTCTACCAGGATGGTGAATGTTTCGTGTTTACAGTCCTGAAAAAAAATGCCAACAGATATTTAATGGAAGGCTAATTACAGAAACTTTCCCTGTAAAATTTTCTCTCAACTCTGAAAAAATATTTCTGTTTCTGGAGAAGATCCAGACTTTCCCAACTCCTAGGCCTTCTTTGGCCTAGGATTCCATTTTGCCTTTTGTAATGATTAGGAATGATGAGACAATTAGAATCTGGTTTTGTATTTTATTGATGATATCCATATTTGGAGTTTTTATTCATGTCCACTTCTAATGCTTGGTTCAATTCTACCTTATCTCTCATCTTTCTGTAGCTGGTATCAATGCTAGACAAAAATTTCACATAAAACATTTTTCAGGAGAACAGTAACATACAGCTTTGGGTTTTTTTACTGAATTGTGCAGGTGGGGAAAAAGAAAAGCAAATAACAAACAGAAAAAGCCCTTAAAAGATCAAAACATTTCACTTGCACATTTCTGGAATTAAATATTTTTATTATAATTAACTTTTAATTTTTCTATTTCTTTTGACTTATTTTTAAATCTGTTTTAAAAATGTTCAAAACCTAAATGAAATATATCAGCTGACTTGAACTGTTTTTCTGTATTTGAACTTCCCAGAAATGAAATAAAAACATTAGACTTATAAATTCAAATTATTATTTTGTTTTCAGAACTGTTAGTGTAATTTTTCAGATTTTTACCATTTGACCCAATACCGTATAATACAGTAATATGGCAAAAATTAAGCAACTCTGTAAGAAAGCTGGATTAATCACAGTGAAGAATGTAGACTAAGCAAGTTCTTAAAAAAGGCAATGCTCTTCAGCAATTACTACATCGCTGAACTGGAAATTCCCCAGTAAGCACCATATACTGTTGCATGACATTCTAATAGTTAACTGATTATTATCATTTTACAGAATCACATATCATTTTACAGAATCATAGAATGGTTTGGGTTGGAAGGGACCTCAAAGATCATCTAGTTCCAACCCCCCCTGTCATGGGCAGGGACACCCTCCACTAGACTAGGTTGCCCAAAGCCTCATCCAACCTGGCCTTGAACACTTCCACAATTTGAATGAAAGCATATGGTCTAGTAAACATCTGGCTAAGTGAGAGGCAAGTTAACATCTGTATGTCAAAAGAAGTAAGTTTCAAAAGTGTTGATTGAGATCATCTTTTCTTTCTATAAAAGTCATAACTGATTCTCACCTTAGAAAGGATGTAAGTGCAGTCTCCATGGTGATCATAATGCTTTTTATCATATGTGGAAATGTGTGAACCTCCCTCTACTGAACATATTCCTGGGCATGACATGTCTTGGCAACTCCACTGGCCTCCATTGCAGGTACTGGAAGAGAGAGAATAAAGTTAGCTGAAATTAGTAACAGTGGTCCAGAGTAAAAGAAATTACAGTGACATTAGGTTCAGCTATTTTGCTACTGTTTTTCCCTTCAAGCTGTAGCCTGGCACACAGTAAATCTACGCTTAAGACTTTCCAAAACATTGTGAATATGTGTAAAAGGAATGACTCTGGTATGCATTTACTTTGTTTATTTAATTGTTTTCCTTCTTTGAACAGGTGAACCCTCCAGCAACAGGTATTGGATGAGTAATTACTTGGTTTTTTGCAGTTAACACAATAACAAATTAAAATGTCTTCTGTTTTTTTATACAAACCTATCAGAAACTAAAAGAAATGGAACTCCACATCTACTGATGCAAAGCGTATCTGTTTTCTAAGGTGAGGTGGTTAGTGCACAGGTACAGGATTAATAATTGTGAAATTGAGGTTCTATTGTGTCATCCTTTGCTTTCTCCAGAGAAAATAAATATTTGCATATACATAAATGACTGCAACTTCATTCTCCTTAGAGAAGTCCAAATGTTTGAACAAAATAAATGAAGAGGAAGCATTTTAATTGATTGGTGAGAAATCTAAACATTGTAAGTCATTGCTTTGATCACCTTGAGCTAGAGTGCAAAGCTAGTTATGGCTGTTGCTAAACAAAACAAAGAATGTTCTTTAGGGATATTTTGGAACTGTAGCAGTCAGTTAAATAAACATATCAATTACCAATGATGCAATTGCATATAATAAACCATTAAACTCGTTAAATATATGAGAGGAAATAGTAAGTTAGGAAAGTAACAAAAGTTACCAGGAATGGCACTGCTCTGAAAAAGAAGTTCCTGTTGTGAAGGTGTTGCCATTGTAAACACAGGAGCACTGCTGTTGGGGAATGCAGCCAGAATTGTTGATGTCATCAAATACAGTTCCTAGATTAAAAAAAAAAAAAAAAGAAAACCTTGATCAATTAAATAGGCATTTCCTATATATTATTTTTGTTTGTTACAAATCCTAAATATCATCTTGGAGACAGATCTGCAGCTGTTGTGAATGGACATACCTGAGGACGGTAGGACTATGCCAATTTGCACAGTGAAGGATTCAACCTTGTATTCTTAAATTCCACCTGCTTTGAAAGAGGGGCTTATTTCAGCACAGGTGGCTTGTTGAGAGAATGGTCTCGATCTGTTTGCTGTTCTGCTTTCCTTCTTTCTGAATATTGCACATGTATTGGCAATTAATTCAGGTATCTTTTCTCAGCTGAGACACGACAAATGATTGTCACATGCAGCTGTGCAAAATGCAAATACGGGAGGCTTAAACTGCATAGAACCTGCCCAAATCCTACAGGGAATCTGTTGTTGTTCCTTGAGATCAGAGATGTGAGTACATAAGAACTTGCCTGGGGGGCAGAAACAACCATCCATACAGTGTTCTTCACAAAACTGAGATCGTTCAGGATTGGTGCATGTGTCAGCACAGGGTGAGCTGCACTCCTGGTACTGCATGTTGTAAGGACACTTCTTGGCTGAAATTTTAAAGAGATTTTTTTTTTAGTCAAAAGTATTTCTAGTTAACTGTGTATGAAAATACTTATATTCGTTTAAGTTTTTCAGTTAGACGTAAAACCACACTAAACTGCAGATCCATCATCAGCTCTCAAAATTTGCAAATTTAGTCACCCAGATCCATATTTTATAGCGATGTTTTCCAGGAATGTCTGGTGCTGAACAGGCTCAATGACTGGATTTCTGAGGACAGCAAGGTAATGACTCCACAAAATCATCAAGGCCTGTGTTTCTACTGAAGGCATCCTTCACAGGAACATCTATATTGCTAGTTAAATGTAAGGCTTAAGTTCCTATAGCTTTAGTATATTTGCATTTTTCAGATACCATTGGAAGGGCAAATAGTACCTCATGGGGTTTTGGAGCAAATGCTGGTGACAGTATCAACAGCTACACCCCATAATCTAGTATGTGTTTAATTCACTGCAAATCTCTATGAAGTTTACAGTGGTGCAAACTGCTCGCTACCAAGCAAGAGGAGCTAAATAAGTGCTTAACCAGCCAAATACCTGTGAAGATCCAGTTAATAATTGAGAATAAAAAATGCTGGAGCCACCATGGGAAAACAGGAATACAAGCAAGCAACTATATGTCATTCCTTCTCCTTCTTTCTCCTTATTTTCTTCCTTTACTTCCAGTTAATTTCTTCCTTTACTTCCTTTATGTCCCACTTAATTAAATAACACTTTGACTCTCAATTAGAGTATTCATGTAAGTATCTGATAGTGTTTAATCCAGTTTGCATTAAAACCCTTAGCTCTTTTGCTGAAGTCTTCAATGCTGGAACTTCTACATCAGAACCCTCTGGAGAATACAATCTTGAATGGCCTATAATTTCTCATGCATCCTTGGTATCATTTGAGAGCTTGTTTGTTAATTACTGAGCACAAAGTGAGGCTATCTCCAGTGATACTTACGGCACAGTTTTGAGGTTCTCCAGTTCAGAGGATGCCCACCAGCATGAGCACACTGCCGGGAGTATTCAGCAAAGGTGTCACAGATACATGAGGCATTTTTAGACTCTTCAGAGCGGCACAAGTCATCTTGGCAAGCCATAATGTACTCTCGAACATCAACTAGGTCATTACACTCCGCAAATGCAGAGCTGGTCAATGTTTTCTGGCATATGTCATCCTTAGAAGAAAAAAAAAATTAAACAATTTCCAGAAAATAGAAAGGAGCAATTTTTTTTTGTATTGTTACTTTGTATAATTATTCTTTGATAGAATCTTATATTCCTCTTTAAGTTGCTGTTGCCTGAGGGATTTTCCTGTTGATCCCTCTGAAGCTGCAGAAGGGTATAGATAAATTTGAAAGAAAAAATAATAGTCAGAAGCTCCTTACAAAATTATCAGTGCAATTATCTGGCAGGGTAGAAGTGAAGTCTTCACAGTGTTCAGTTGGCCCATCCATTTTCTGCATATTCCCAAACTGTAAGGCTGTCATCTGAATATCTGTGTAAAATAAGTTTAATAATGAAGGTTGAGTTTTTTTGTTCAATGCAACTGCCTGTTACCTTTTTCTTCTCTCAAGAATTCTACTCAAGACTGGCCAAGGCAGTTAGTTCCCTTAAGTCTTTAAATTTAATCATCATCCCATCCAAAGGAAGCACTACATCTCACTGTCTCAATTTACCTTGCACAGCATCCTGGAAAAAGTAAACATTATAAAATAATTCTCAGCCTATTATATCTAGATGCAAACTAAGATTTTTACCAGAAAAATAACAAACTGTTTTCAGATTATATTGAGCCCATGCAGGGAAGAGAGAAAAGAATCTAAACAGGGCTTTGGACAATGGAGATGGCTGTGAGACAAGGTTTAGGAAAAAAGCTCTAGCTGGGAATAGATAGAATGATGAAGATAAGATCTTACAAAGACTATGCAATTTAGCAGGCAAATTTGGATATACCAATTTTAAGACAGAACTGAAACAATAAATATACTGACTACAGTTGCCTTTTATTTAATTGAATATACTTCTATATTTATTTATGTTATTAGTGAAAAACATTTTTATGGGGTTAGCTGGCTAGGTACATATGGCATACAAGAAATACGCTATCAGTTGTTAGCACCAATACTATATTTATACTTAAAGAATTAAATTACATTATCTGATGTCTGTACTACATATTTATCAATGGAGATTGAATCATATCTTCCGGGTAAATCATTTAATAGGACAGGAAAGAAGAATGCTGATGATGTTAGACTTAAAATAATACAAAAAAAACATGTTGGAAACTCCAGAAACCAATTTTTATTATCTAAAAAACTTACTGTTTGAATAGAACTCATTGTAAATTGGAAAGCCATTGAAGTCTCCACAAAGTCCACAGGTCTGATTGGCATATTTCTCATTCAATTCCAGCTAAAATGATGGACAGTACATTGATAGAAGTTAGTATAAATATTCTAAAATTTATGCAAGACCACTGAAAGCACCTGTGTAATTTTATTTAGCAATCTAATTCAAACCTGGGGGACAGAATGAAGAGTTGGCTTGGATTTTATTTACAATGCAGAGTCCAAGCTATTGATACTATTGACGCAGACTTAAGTTTTTACTGTAATACCTAGATTGCTCTCACCCTTTTTCTCTCTATTCATTCTTCAGAAAGAAAACCATATCCACAGCAAAAATGAAGTCCTAAGACAGTGAAATTCTACTAGAAAATGATATTTGAACAGTTAAGTAGGTCTTATAACAATGCCAAGATGTTAATGATATAATGGAAGTGATTTTTCACCCTATTTTAGGGAGATGTCTGCTATCCACTAGAAGTAAATCCATGTAATTTTTTTTTAGGACTACCTGGAGGCAAACCTATTTTTATTAAGAAAGAATTGCTCAACAGTATGAGATGGGAAGGGCAACTGTAACCCCCTAAACAGACAAGGACTGGCCTAATCAAAGATTAACTCTGAAGGTGTAGACATATCCAGGAGCAGTTCTTACCAGAATACTGTCATCTTCATTCCACATTAACACAATACCCATTTTGCTAGCAACTTTCACATAAATGCTACTTTTCTCTATCGTAATTCCAGATTGGCTGTACGGCAGTTGAACTCTGGGAAAAGGCAGAAAGAATGCTAGGTATTTTCTGATCCAGATGTTTGATAAAGAGAAAAAAAAAAAAAGCTTGTGGTATCCAGCATCTATAGGGATACTAAAATAATGCAGTTGTGTGGAAAGAAAAGCGATTAAAAAAAATAACATGCCACAACATCATCAAATATGGATCTGAATTTGTATCCAACGTCTCAGGATTTTTCATCCAAATTTTAATTTTGAGGTAATCTTTAAGGGAAGGATTGATTTACTAAGAAAGCAATTATTAGCAGCTTACACATTATTTATATTGGTAAAATTGTCAGATTTATTGAAGAACACATAATTTCCTCCCACACACACACCCCAAATGCACCAAAGTACTTGGCAAATTTGAAAATAAGGTCTCTGGTTACAAAATAAGTGTTACAAATAAATTTACCTGTTGCTGTTAATCATAACGACATCCTTTGTTAGTTCAGCAGCTACACCTTCAAGTTTCATGGTGATACGGTTGATTGTTGGAGCATTTTCCACCATTACGCGCCTAATCTGGATGTTGAAATCTTCATAGGGAGTATTGCAGTGGGATGCAAAAACGTAATTACACAGCCCAGGAAAGGAGAATATGTCTCCATCAAAGGTCTTGAAGTGGAAGTTGCCCCATGTGCTGCACACACGGCCATTGTGAGCAGGATTGGAAGCTGTGAATTAAAACTAGCTGTAAAAAAAATGACTTAAAATTCCCAGCCGTAACATGGTGAAAATCAACTTGTCCAAGGCTTCATTTTATCATTGAATAGTTTTCATCTGCCTTCCTTCATTTGTTACTTTCTGTCCATCTATCCATTATAAAACTGTATTCATTCTTCACTCATATCTGTTACTCATCTTATATACCCCTATAAATGGTTATAGTTATGTTCAGCTAGAGCTTTATTAGTTGTCCACATTTCAGCTAACAGTTTAATATTATGTTTCTTAACCACCCTCTTTCTCCTCTTAATAATCCATGACTTCCTTTACCAGTGCCTCTCCCTTAGATTCCTCTGTCTACATTCCCTAATATTGAAAACTTATTGAATACATTTCCTTTACTTACGTGTTATTACTGGATTTGTCAACATTGGCTGGATGATGTTCACCTTAGATAAAACTGTAGCAGAAGCTAGAAAAAAAGTAAGAAAGAAAACAAAAACTAGTGTAACAATACCAAAATTTGCATCTAAAATTGACCTAGAAAGGACTAGAAAATTAATATTGCAGATCCAATGAAACAATGTTAAGCCTACTCTATATTACACAGGGCAAAGATCAGGTTAAAAGTGTGTACAGTTAAATCATAAGAAATTGCTTTCAACTCTGATGATCTACATTTTCTACCTTTTAATTTTGACCCTTTTATGAAACTCTGTACAGTGTTAGGGGAGGCAGAAATTCACGGCTCTGCATATTAGAGTGCTTCAGACACATCGAACAATACAAAGGGTAAGCTGTACTAAATTAGCCTGCTACTACAAAAGCATAGTTGCCTTCTCATTACACCTCCTCTTTCTAAGGAGAAAATAAAAACTTATTCCCTTTGCTCTCTCTTTAGTATTTTTCTGTTAAGGGGCTGAAAACCCTTAGAAATTACCACAAAGCCATTGTACAGGGTGATCACAAATCATTACATGGTAAAAATCAACGAAGTTGGGTTGCCATCCTGATTTCCTAATATCAGCTGCTAATTTTACAGCTTGCCAAAGTGGTCTCATTTCCTTGTTTATAAGGAACCAAACATCCTGCATGTATATTCCACTTTTTGATTTTATATATACATATTCATGCACATATGCACACAGCCTCTACAAACACACCTCTGTTTTCTTAGTTACCTATTATTATACAAATATAACCATGCTGTGTGTGTTTACTAACTGGTATCTAATAAAGATATTATAATTCTTATCTAGAGAGGGACTTATTAATACACATTTATCTTTATTTGACATTACGAGTAATGTGCTAAGGAGGTTTTTTAAGCATTTTTATTATTTAGTAGAGATGTAGCAAATAAATACAAATACAAATACACAGTATAAATTAACATACTGTTTTGTTTCTGTTGAACAACCTCAGTGTATGTGCTTCCTGTTTCCTGTTGGATTTCAATCTGGGCTCCTGTGAAGAAAAAAATAGAAAACATATTAAGTACAAAAACCTGTATCTGAACTTTTAAAGCAAAGCATTTAGATAGGATCAAAGGACTCAGATACATCTCTGTAAAACAAAGGGGAGTCCTTTATCACATCAGAAAAAATGAAACAGGCCCCCCAAAAAAGTAAAATGTAATTATAGAAAGAGACTTTCTATTACAAATACAGAGTTTGAAATCCAAATAACATTTCATGTATATCTGCTTTCTCTGTTTCCCTTAAAACTCACTACTAGGGATTCTAATAACTGGATTACAGCCCTTATTTCACTGCTGCACTAAATCTCACTATTATGTGAAACAATTACAGGAAGAATTCACAAAATATAAAAGAGTCATTTATTCAAAATTGCTGTGTAGTAGCTAGGTAATAATAAGAAAAGGCACAGAACTGGTTAAAAGAAACAAGAGACTTAGGGCTTGATCCAGTAATGGCTACAGATATTTATATGCCAGTTTCTTTAGTGCCTAAGCACAGGGCCTTCTGGAGCAGATCTAAAACCTCATTCAGGGATCTAGATGTGCTTTACAGCTGGATGCAAGAAGTTACCTCTGAGTGATAAAACAAGGGCCCATAGCCTGAGAAGTAACCAAAAGAACCAGGCTTCCTGTTCTACCCCTCTTCTCACTCTGAGATGGTTCAAATTCACATCTTCTCTGCAGAAAACCTTAAGCATCATACTGTAAGTCTACTTGACCAAGGGTTCTTGCTACCCCACCTGAAGCTGAGACATGATGCTGACAACAGTGGGACAGTGACAAAGGAAGAAAAAATAGGCTATGATCATGTGACCACATGATTAGGGCACTCAGCTACATCAAAACTGTCCTATTTTTGTGCTTTGTTTTCAGGATTATTTTTGTACCTCCAGTTAAATGGTTACTGGATCAGCTACATGAATTATCTTTCAGATGAGTTCTCTCTATCATGACTCCCTAAGTTTTTAATTCCTTTTCATGCATGGCCCAGCAATACCATACCAGAGGATGTACTGGCAAAGACTTTTGAGAGATGACAAATATTGACCTGAACACTCTCATGCCTGGAAAAAGACCGACCCTGAGCTCCTAGGTTGGTGCTCTAAGCTCTTGTCTTTTATAAGTAAATATGGCAGGCATTTTCTGTAAAAGAAAAATGGCTACAACTTTATTTTGTGAAGGACCAAATCCTGTCAGCATGTGATAACTGTGCTTGGAACATGTTGACTAGCATGTACCTATAACCTGCCAAGTCTAAATCCTCAAAGTGATGAAGGTGATGATCAAGATGATGAAATTACTAATATCTGAATCCTGACCAGGATTATGTGAATGAGCACTCTAGGTGTCTAGAGAATTTCTCTGTCAAGTCAAGTCAAATTAAGACCCCTTTTTCCTTATACAATAGGTGGGAAGAGTTCACTGATTCAGAACTGGATCCATAAGACCCATCTCACTGTAACAGGGAGCCACATTGGTGGAAGAGGGGGAAATGCTGAAGTCAGGGGTGTGTCATGAACCTTTGGTACTTACGTTCCTTGCTGAGCATTTCCTCCACTTAAGAACCTCAGTCCAGATACCTCCATGAAAGCTGGACAACTACCTTTGCCTTAAAAATAACTGGATCAGGAGCACCTTTTTAAAAAATTATTTTTTTATGTAACTTCTGGCTGTGTCCACCATGTAAGCAGATTGAGTACTTGATCTCAGAGTTGAAGGATGCCTGTCTGAAGGGATTCAAGCCCCCTCTTGAAGAGGTCTTCAAGAGACTGCTGGCTTTGGAGGAGAGGGTTCTGGGCAGCCTCGCCATATCTAGAAGTTGCTGCAGTATTCGCAGCTTCTTTCAGCCCTAAGCTTTTAATTCTTTTCTCATTTAATTTTATGCGTGACCACTAGTAATGTAGAAAGAAGTAATTTAGGACAGAGTTTAACCATTTTCCATTTCCTGTTAGTCTTTCAGTATCACAGATAATATCATTATATAAATACATCCATATAGTTATAACTGATACTGATAGGTGAGACAAATGCCTCTGTAAGTCTCAATAATAGGCCAGAATTTGCTCTCACCCAACAGGCATCTCAGCAGGCATAGAATCATAGAATGTTTGTTTATTCTAGCATGAGAACATTTCTAACAGAGCAAAATAGTATATACATGTATTTTGGTCTGTTAATTTTTCTCAAGGAAACAGCAGGAGCTTTTGGTTTTTTATCAAATACATCATTCTGAAGGAAATTATAGCTGCATTGGTTTATTTAGCAATTGCACAATGCCACGTTGTTGACCATTATAAAAATAAGCATCTCTCAGTTGTAAAAATAGTCAAGATAATTTACTATTTGATAATTTGGGAACTGACCTAATTATTAATATTTCTGGATGCACCTTGCTAAGTCTATATCCGGCTGCCAATCCACATATGCAATTGTTGTTACAATTAATTTATAAAAGTTAGTATTTGACCAAAATATAAAGTCAGGCACAGAATGTTTCTGGAGATGGCATGGGACTGGGCCAAGATTCTTTAGTCATAGAGGACATCTGAAAATATTTTCCGCAGAGTGTGATTCAAATAAAGAGGAGTTTGCTGGACACTGTTTAACCGTTACTCATTTTCTCAAAGGAATTTATCAGATTAGCATTGCACAGTACACATAACTCTTGTTCAATGAATGGCTGAAGACCAGGTTGGATGAGGCTTTGGGCAACATGCTCTAGTGGAGGGTGTCCCTGCCCGCAGCCAGGGGGGTTGGAACTAGATGATCTTTGAGGTCCCTTCCAACCCAAACCATTCTATGATTTTATGATTCCATGCTTTTAACTGACATTGTGTAACTCCAAACATAAGCTTCTACTCTGAGTGACTGTTGTATTTTGTGCTTAAATCAACTTGCCGGTATTTTAGTGTTTATTTCACAAACTATAAAGTAGCCTAAAATTATATTTGCACTTGTCAATGTCTTGAAAATGATATGCAAGATAAATTTACATTGGCAATCTGAAGATTTAAAAATGTTAGCTGACAGGACAGTAATTACCGTACATGAATGGGACTGACTTAGCAAGCTTGTAATGCTTGTAATGCAAGTAATTTCTATTTGAGTGGTCCTATTGACTTAATAGGGCTACTCATACTAATAAAAGCTTCCAAGACCAGGCCTGATGGATGTAATATTGACAGGAGGAAAAAAAAACCCATACAAAATGGTGGATTGCATGTGTCAGATAAATCTCCCAATCCTGCTCACACTCAATATCAGTAATTTCTATAAATATTTTGCATAGGGTATTATCAATGCACAGTTAGTTACTGAAAATCATTGCCACATGAATAGTCCCTTCTAGTCTCTTTTGCAAAAGAATTTGCAAGAAATCTTGAGGAATCTGGTATTAGCTCTTGGTAGGTGACAAGATACTGGAAAAGATTGACCAGTGGACTGATCTAGCAATTAGAAAATGTAGTGGTTTAGATTTCATAAAAACCATAACATTTATAATGAATCCTAATACAAAATGTATCAGGAATAAGGCATAAGTGATACTGACATTTTTAAGATATGAATAATGGTTCTTTTTTATTTGATCATGAACGCTACCTTCCAAATGTAGTTATATGCAGTATTTTGTGGTAATATTAAATTAAAACAGTCCAGTTAATAGGCAGACATTAAATATTTAAAGAAAATTGAAAAAAGATATAAAGAAATCTTGTTTAAATGCAACCATCTCTTAAGTGAAACAATAAAATCAGTACAGTTGTTTAAAATATATTACTATATGTAAACAGAGTATTTTTTTCTTTTCCCAATTAAAACAAACAAACAAACAAACAAACAAACAATTTCTTACCTATCTGATGGATATAGCAAACTGCTAACAGGAAAGCCCAGTCTGTTACCCATAACCCCCTGCCAAACCCCATCTTGAGTGGAGTCTGGCACAAGGATGTGGGGTCTGAAGTTGGTCAGGAGGAGTAGTTCACCTGTGCTCTGTCAGTCTTATATAGTAGGTGACTTTGGCTTCAGTCCCAGATTGATTCAGATAGTCTAGAAAGGTGGGGTTGGGGGGATTTTAGCAAATGAACAGGTAAACAGAGGATGCTCTTCCTTCCTCAGACACTGGCCAATGGTATTTGCATTTTGGGAGGAGTATATACATATACATACGTATATTTTGTTAAGGTTCAGTCTAATAAAGAAACATAACATGATTGCAAATAAAACACAAGTCCTCCTCCACAAATAACAGGTCCTGGAACAAATGTAATTTGGTGTTACTTTACAGTTATGCAGATGGCATGCAAGTAACTATTCTAGGTTTTTCAATACTACAACTGATGCCAGGCAGCTCCTTGGCAAAAAAACCTACCCTGCTGATTTCTGAAGTCTGAGGAGGTGTGGAGTAATTCATATGTGGGGACCCAGCAATAGGAAGTCACTCTGTGCCTCTTGGGGCAGCTAATTTTCTTGTAAAATAACAGACTAATAACCTTGAAGGGTCCTGCACTCTAACACGATCACACTGAGTGTATGCCATGGAAACCCTTCTGTGTGGCACTGACAAGCATTAGGCACCTATCTAAGGAACATTAAGCCAGCTTCACCTAGACTACATTTATTAGAGATGGACTTAAACCTTAATATCTAATTCTCTGCATAATCTGATTTTACCTTCTCATAGAAAATATCAGGAGTAATTTCAGACAGACAGCTTTACACCAGCTTTGTAGGAGAAAAAAGTATTAGATTGATTATGGCCTGTGACCATAATCACATTGTTTCAGTATCATTCTGTGTAATTCCATTCACACCCATGGAGTTATGAGGACTACAAATTAGAGAAACAGCAATGAATCAGGCCTATAAGGCTTGCCAGGAAATGTTTAACATTTTTTTTCCTGAACATTGGCTTTTTGCAGTTCTACTGGATTATCATTTCAAAAGCAGGAATGAATGTATACTTCAATAAACACAGACAGCATTG